CACCAGAAGCAGACCACCCCTAAAATGAAGAAAATGTCCCTGCCCAGAAAAGTAGCCATTTTGAAAAACCCTCCCTCTGCAAAATGCTCAAATAGTTCCACTTTCAAACCCGATTGCATCCAAATTGCTCAGAATTGGAAGCCCTGAGTCCGGCCCAGAGGTTCAGTCTCATATTTCTTCAGTTCCATGGCTCTCAGGACCCTCTAATATAGAATATTTTGAGTGTATAACTTTTATTAATGAGCTTGGCGGACATATTTCTGGCCTAAATACGAGGGTGCACCCTGAAGGCATGTCTGGTGTCCACTCTAGCCTGACAGACAAAATCTATTGATGCCTGAGTATTTCAGTATACCCAGCAAGAAATGAGACCGAGGGGTACCCCCCCAACATGTCCAATCCCTATACACATTCCAGAATATTGTTACTTAACACATCCCCCCAAGATGTCTGAAAGGAATTCCCCAGATTCCTGCGAGACAATGACCAACACAAAGCAGGGGGGATTCTCTCCGTCTCATACCTTGCTGCATATGTATTTCAGCCAGGCCTACAGCCTTATAAAAAGAGCCCAGATTTTGTGGGTATTCCGTAATATTCTTTTGTTCACGAACCTGGCTCAGTGCGCTGCTGACCCCTTTTCAATAGGGGCCAGATTAGCATGCAGTGGTGCTGTGTGTCTCATCACTGCGTGGTGGAATGCCTTTGCCCCAGTGGTAATCCGCTCGCATTGAATGCCCCAAACTGTGGTATACTGTTTCAAAACAAGGCTGGATTATCTCCACTATTGAGAGTGAAAAAATGTTGGTAATTCCCAGCAGCCTGGTCTTCTGTTCTGAGTACGGTCTTTTGTTACAAGGCCCTGTTCCCTTTGTCCGAGTTCGGAGACCCCGGCTACGCTTATAAAGCAAATTTGACAATGCAGTGCAGTTTTCCACTAAGGAAAGATTCTCCTTACATTTTAGTTTCATTTTTTTCTATTTTTATGATGAAGTCACTCCTCTGATTTATTTCACTGCTGAAGTTTACACCTAGAGTCAGTGATGACATCTGTATTTTATCTTCTTTTTGTTCTTTTCAAGAAATGGGCTCAGGAGAGACTCAATTCCAGTGAGGACCCAAGTGACAGCCACTCTGACAGTGATGAGGAGCAAGAACAGTGGATGGAGAAAACAGGAGGTAGAAAAACTGTCACTCTTCAGTCATATTTGCCAGCTGTGAAGAAATCAACTTTTGCAGGTAGATTTGTCCCTGGTACTTCGTAACGTCTTAACCCTAAAAGAGCTTGGTTACATTGGACCACCTCACAGCCCCTGGCAATCCCCCAAGAATTAGGCTGTCCAGTGCTGGATTTTTTTTACAAACTTTGTATGCATGACTTTCCTTCTCAATACAAGTATTGAAGTTTTATCTCAATCTGTCATATGGTTTGATAGTCACTTGGAAGTTTGGAATGGCAGCGGAAAAGTATACATTCTTGGTTGACCTCTCAGAAAGGAAGGAGCTGTGCGAGAACAGTATGTTGGATTTTCACAAAAATGGTGTCAGAATGACCAAAAAGGAGTTGTTAAAAAACTCCAGAAGGTTTCTGGAAACTATGCACCATGATAATATTGGAAAATATGTTAAAGGGAGGTACATGTAGATTCCCTCTCCTCTCCCCCAGCTCTTTGGGATAAATTTCACAGGTTCTTCAAGAAATTCCCACTCACACAGCCAGAGTTTTCACAATTCGTTAAGTTGAGAAAACAGTCAGGAGGTACCTCCTG